TTAAAACTGTGAACTCACTGCGAACCAACATGTGTATTCCATAACAAAGATGGTATCAGTCACTCACTCACTCAAAACTGTTCAGTCCATTCACATTTGAATCATCTATTTTCCGTGTCCACTTTTCTTTTCTACACACTCGTCATGTTTTTGCTGTCACATCGTATCAACATTGGACGCGACAAAGCATTGCAAATCATTTGAACGTTGTGTCAGTACGTTATAAATAGCACGAGTCAGCAGTTTACTGTCGGGGATTTGTTGTGTCGCACCGCATCCAAGACAGGATCACTGATTATAACGAGTTCTTGTATTTTATTGCGTCACACCACACCGCTCGCGTCCGGTGTAGACACAATGTAAGTTAATGTAGCTTTCTGATGCTGCGTTTGAATTTTCATGCCACATTATTTGAAATTAGCGCGGGCCAAACTTTTTTCTCTCGCGGGCCACCTATTGAGGAACCTTACTAATGATGTGACAAACATAGGCCTATGTAGTGGAGGCAGGGTATTTAACAATTTAACAATAAACTTATTATTCAAAATGAGTCTAACATCAGTGCACTTAACAGTAAACTTCGCTTAGTATAAATAAAATAAAATAAATAAAAGTTTATACAGTATAAATAACTTAAATAACACAAATAGAACAAAATATGTATAACTTGAATTAAGAAATTAAACAAGGTAACTGTGTAGGCCAAACAAGCTACTGCCAAACCAACAGGGGCAGGTTTATGCAGGAAGCACAGATTTTTCAAATGTAAACATCTAAAATGAATAAATAATAATAATTAATTTTTTTTAAAAATCACAAACTCTGTCTTGTGTATTTTCTGGTAATCAACTGAACATGCAGAACATTCGTATTTAAATTGTCTTTTTGCAGTTTAATATTCACGGTTAGGGTTAGGTCAAATAATGTCATATTTGCATTAAAAATGACATAACTGAGCAAATGACACTTAATGACAGTTGTCATAAAAATGCATAAAACCTCCTTCATATTCATGACGTGTGTCATGTCATGATTATGAAGGTGTCATGTCAGTCTTATGCACACCCCTTCAAGTAAAGTGTTACCCGTTTTTTATTTATTCATCAAAAATAAGACAAATTCCATGAAAATCCGCGTTATACAGTAAATTCCGTTTTTATGGCTGGATTCCGCGATTCCGTCCATGTTTTCTGCATCGCGGAAATCATAGGGCCCAACTACTGTAGCAAACGAATATGATAAGCTCATTGTGAGAGTAAAATACGAGGACATTGTTGTTTATTTACTGAGCATTGAGTCTCTCCAACTAGGTGACAACGTAGCGTTAAATCACCATTCAACAGACTCAAGCCACCACAGCATTGCCGTCTATTGGACTGCAGAAAGATACACATTTTTTAATCTGCTACGTTACTGACTGTACTGACAAACTATGCTGACACCGTGTCTGCACCGCAACAGGACGCAACAAAGCGACCGTTGAAAATCATTTGAACTTTGTGTCAGCACGTCATAAATAGAACGAGGCATCAGTTTACTGCATCCAGTGACAACATCACTGATTACAATGGGTTCTAATCTACGAGCGGCGCGGCGCAACAAAATACATAGACTGCAAGATGTGATGTGACCGATGTGACACCAGCATTGACTGAATGGCCGCGATCAGCTCTGGTGGCCGTAACACAGGCTTTAATGCACCACAGACGCGTGCCGTGATGCGCAGATCAGCTCTAGTCTCTAACGTCACTGAATCTGCTGTTAAAAATGAGACATCCATTAATCATATCATCATGCAAAACTAAGAATTAGAATCATTGTAATGTGACGATCAAATATAGGTGCGGGTGGGTGGCGGGCGGATAATTTGAAGCAGCGGACTCGGGTGAAGTTTGAGCTCATCCACGCATCTCTACACTACACTGACCTGGGTCGCCAGTAGCAAACAATGGAGCGCTGCTCTGCTGGACAAACTAACTAATTACACCATTCAGAAGCATTTAATCTGCGTTATATGTTCTGTAAAAAAACTAATTCATATCGGCTGCATATTTGCCGATACCGATATATCGGCGACAAGCTCATATCGGCCGATAATATTGGCTAAACTATATATCGGTGGGGCTCTAATGCTTTAACCTCTTTTTCAATTAGCATCATTTATTTTCTTGGTTACTGCTGTTGTTAGCTTCCTTACGTACCTGACGGTGCCCTCTGAGACTCCGGGCACAGAGAGGGTGATGTCCAGGGGCATCTGGCACTGGCTGCGGAGGATGCTGACCATACGCAGAGCCTCCACCTCACTACGCGGGGCGTTCACTGACGCACAGCCTAAATACGTCAGCTTACTGAACACCACGCTGTCTTCATCTGGGACAGGGGTCCCGGGACTCAAGTCAGAGGGCTCATCTAGAAGCAGTGATGGGAAGAGAGACTCTAAATGAAATGTTTTGAACACACTTGACTTAAAAACCTTTTGATCTGACTGCTTCTAATTAAATGCTTGAAATTGTTTTTACACCAAAGTAAATAGTGCCTATGTATGAATTATCATGACTAGAATTAAACAGGTAGGTATGTGTCTTTATAACAAATAACCAGCAGATGGCACTCTGTATATGTATTATACTGAGTCTGCACACTTTTTAGGTTTTAACCTCAATTAAAAAATGTTTATTGTCTGAATGCAAAAAGGATAAGAAAAAAATTTAAATTATATATATATATATATATATATATTCAGTTAAGTAGTTTTGTCTACATATATATGTATATATACAGTATATGTGTGTGTGTGTGTGTATATAATATATGTGTGTGTACTGTGTATATTTATTATATATAAATACACACATACAGTAAATATTTAGAAAATATTTACATGTAAATATTTATATAATTTAATATATAAACAAAATTTTTCTTAAATATATACATGCGTGTCTATTTATATATACATAATTAATATACACAGTACACACACATTATGTAAACAAATACTTTTATTTTGAATGCGATTAATCGCGATTAATCATTTGACAGCACTAATATATATATATATATATACACACACACACATACGTGTATATATATATACACACAGTGCATTCAGAAAGTATTCAGACCCCCTTCACTTTTTTCAATTTTGTTATGTTGCAGCCTGATACTACAATTGTTTAAATTCTTTTTTTTCTCATTAATCTACACTATCTACCTCATAATGACATAGTGTAAACAGAATTTTAGAAATGTCTGTAAATTTATTAAAAAGAAAACTTAAATACTCCGAACTTAGTCGAAGCACCTTTGGCAGCAATTACAGCCTCAAGTTTTTTTTGAGTATGACGCAACAAGCTTTGCACACCTGGATTGGGGGATTTTCTGCCATTCTTCTTTGCAAATCCTCTCAAGCTCAGTCAGGTTGGACGGGGCCGTCGGTGGACAGCCATATATACACACAGTGCATTCAGAAAGTATTCAGACCCCCTTCACTTTTTTCAATTTTGTTATGTTGCAGCCTGATACTACAATTGTTTAAATTCTTTTTTTTCTCATTAATCTACACTATCTACCTCATAATGACATAGTGTAAACAGAATTTTAGAAATGTCTGTAAATTTATTAAAAAGAAAACTTAAATACTCCGAACTTAGTCGAAGCACCTTTGGCAGCAATTACAGCCTCAAGTTTTTTTTGAGTATGACGCAACAAGCTTTGCACACCTGGATTGGGGGATTTTCTGCCATTCTTCTTTGCAAATCCTCTCAAGCTCAGTCAGGTTGGACGGGGCCGTCGGTGGACAGCCATTTTCAGGTCTCTCCAGAGATGTTCGATAGGGTTCAAGTCAGGGTTCTGGCTGGGCCACTCTAGGACATTCACAGAGTTGTCTCTAAGCCACTCCTGTGTTGCCTTGGCTGTGAGCTTAGGGTCATTGTCATGTTGGAAGGTGAACCTTCGGCCCAGTCTGAGGTCCAGAGCGCTGTGGAACAGGTTTTCATTGAGGATATCTCTGTACTTTGCTCAATTCAGCTTTTCCTCAACCCTGACCAGTCTCTCAGTCCCTGCTGCTGAGAAACACCCCGACAGCATGAGGCTGCTGCCAGCACACTTTATTTTTGGGATGCTACTCTGTAGGTGATGAGCAGAGCTGGTTTCCTTCAAACATGATGCTTAGAATTGAGGTTCATCAGACCAGAGAATCTTGTTTCTCAGAGTCTGAGGGTCCTTTAGGTGCTGTTTTGCAAATTCCAAATGTGTTTTCATGTGTCTTCACTGAGGAAAGGATTGAGTTTGGCCACACCTCCATAAAGCCCAGATCGGTGGAGTGTTGCAGTGTTGTTTGTCCTTCTGAAGGTTTCTCCCATCTGCAAATATGATCATGGATCTCAACTAGAATGACAGTCAAGTTCAGGTTCTTGGTCACCAGTCTAGACAAGGCCCTTCTCCATCAATTGCTCAGTTTGGCTGGGCGACCAGCTCTTGAAAGAGTCCTGGTTGTGCCAAACGCCTTCCATTTGAGAATTATGGAAGCCACTGTGCTCTTGGGAACCTTCAGTGCAGCAGAAATTTTTTGTAGCCTTCCCCAGATCTGTGCCTCGATACAATCCTGTCTCTGAGCTCTGCAGGCTGTTCCTTTGACTTCATGGCTTGGTTTTCGCTCTGATATGCATTTTGAGATGTGAGGCATTTTTATAGAGAGGTGTGTGCCTTTCCAAATCATGTGCAATCAATTTAATTTACCACAGGTGGACTCCAATCAAGGTGTAGAAACATCTCGGCAATGATCAAGAGAAATGGGAGGCACCTGAGCTAAATTTCAAGCATTGTTGCAAAGGGTCTGAATACTTATGTAAATGTGTTATTTAATTTTTTTCTTTTTAATAAATGTACACACATTTCTAAAATTCTGTTTTCACTTTGTCATTATGAGGTACGGAGTGTAGATTAATGAGAAAAAAAATGATTTTAAACAATTGTAGTATCAGGCTGCAACATAACAAAATTGAAAAAA